ATTAAATTATAGAATCTTTTTAAGTGAAATGGATTTAGTTAAAAATATTATGAGAATCAAGAAGGGTGGGTTATTAAGTCAATAGAGGCAGACTTAGGACAGAAACCTTTAAATTCTGCTGTGACATACAACTTCTTTCTTTCTTTCTTTCTTTTTTTTTTACAACTTATTTATTTTTTGTTTTTTTAAGACAGAGTCTCACTCTGTCACCCCAGTAGAGTGCCCTGGAGTCATAGCTCACAGCAACCTCTAACTCTTGGGCTCAAGCGATTCTCTTGCCTCAGCCTCCCGAGTAGTTGTGACTACAGCTGCCCGTCACAATGCCTGGCTATTTTTAGAGATGGCGTCTCACTCTAGCTCAAGTTGGTCTTGAGCTCAGGCAATCCACCCACCTCAGCCTGCCAAAGGGCTGAGATTATAGGCATGAGACATCTTTTCTGATGTTGTCTAGATACTGTTTCTGCCAAGTTAATACCTCTAAGGACTTTTCTAACCATATTTTTAATAAAGCCTGGTTCTCTATCCTTCAAAACTAAAATCCCCTCTGCTCTATGATTATCTGCATGTTTTTCCTCTTTATTTATTACCCTATCATCTCTGACATAGTATCCATTTAACTCACAGGTGTGCCTATAACCTTGAACATAATATATATCCACCTCAAGGATACTTGATGCCTTTTTTCCTGTTTTCAGTACCCACTAATGTTCTTGGTCCTGCTCTCCTGTTTCCTTCTTCTGGTCAGATAACTATAAAAGCCCAAATTCTTCAAACATTGCATGTCACTCCATTTCTCTCTTTGTCTGTCTCTCCATCTGTTAGCTGAAAAGGTTGGGAGTAGGTACTCTGTAAGTCTTCAGATCACCACCACCACCTTCCTCCTCCTCATCAAAGAGCCTAACCATAAATCAATGACTCTAAATTACACAGAAGCATTTTCAGTATTTTTCTGACTTTCAAATTCAGGATGAGGATAGATGATTTGGAAAATTCTAATCCTTCATTTTTATTTAAGAGAAAATGCTGAGTAACATTCACGTCATTTTTATACTGTATGTTAACACTCGGCCAATTGGAAAGAGTGCTTTCATAAGCAGCCTTCAAAGAATTGGAGAAAAATAACAACATCCCTTTACCCTATAATTCAATCTATGCCAGTTAAAAAAAAAAAAAAACTGACAGCTCGAAATTTAAAGCATAAAATTAGCACAAGCTGATTAACTACATTGTCTAACTGAGAGTCAAAATCTGCTCTTAGTGGTAATGAATATCAGAAATAAAAGGCGAATAAAAGAGGAGATGATATATGGGCACATTATTCAAAAATAAAATTAAATACTTCACTTTAAAGTAAAAGACCACTAGATTTTGCTTGAAATCTACACAAACTAGATGTCCTAGTTTGTCATTTTTTTCCTTAACTCTCTCTCAAACAAAAACAACTCTATCAGCCATGGGGTTTTGATACTTGAATTATTTCCGTATCTTAAAATATCTAGGCTCAGAGCCTGTGGCTCAAGTGGCTAAGGCACCAGCCATGTACACCCAAGGTGGCGGGTTCAAATCCAGCCCGGGCCCACCAAACAACAATGATGGCTGCAACCAAAAAATAGCTGGGTGTTGTAGCAGGTGCCTGTGGTCCCAGCTACTTCGGAGGCTAAGGCAGGAGACTCGCTTGAGCCCAGGAGTTGGAGGTTGCTGTGAGCTGTGATGCCACGGCACTCTACCCAGGGGGATAGCTTGAGGCCCTGTCTCAAAAAAAAAACAAAATACAACCAAAAAAACCCATCTAAATAATCATGACTTTAAAAGGGCTTATTTTATATTAATCCCATGTGACATAATAAATTTAAGATGAGATAAATTAGCTGATTTCATATACCTCTGAGAAAATAATACTTCTGAGAGAACTTAAGTATCTATGAGATATTATCTTCTTTAGCATTTAACCTAAAAGATACATTCTGTGCTTCTTAATTAAGAGGACAAGCATAAAGTATTCTATTTACAATAAGTTTTTCTACCTTTCAAAGCCTGTTAGATATTGGATCTTTAAGAAGTCAATGTAGTTCCATTAGGAACTGATGCTGTTTCACTTACTGAAACATTAGATAACAAGAATAAAATGAATTTATGATGAGTCTTTTAAAGATTTTTAAAAATTAGCCATTCATAGGAAAATTTTATCTCACCTTGGCAAACACACTGTCCATTTGCCTTTAAGTCCAGATTATCACAATTAATGAGTTCTCTAAAGCAGAATGACAATGCCTAATACCTCTTGTCCACAGCCTTTACAGGAGAAGGCAGGGCTTGGCATCTCAAATAATTACTTTAGAACCTCAGGTTATAAATGAACAATTACAAATGATTACTAGCTAAAAGTTTTATTGAAGAAATAATAATAATTAAGTGTTCTGGCAATATCTCTATTAGCATACAAAAGGCAGGAATTAAGTCAGTCAAGAATCTAATGGCAACACAGTATGGTTCCCACACATTTCTTTTTATTTCTCTCTTCTTTCATTCCTATACTCTTATAATACCTAACTGTGGTACAGATGCTACAAATTCCTGGATTCAAATTCTGATTTGCATCAGTTAGGTGTGCGGCTTTGAATAACTTCCATAACCTCTATCGTTTATAGGTTTTTGTGAAGGTCAAGTGAGATATTATTAGAACGTATGAGAGATTTAAGCCCTTTTAAAGTCATGATTATTTAGATGGGTTTTTTTGGTTGTATTTTGTTTTTTTTTGAGACAGGGCCTCAAGCTATCCCCCTGGGATATGGTAGTATGGGCTGGGATATGGTAGTATGGGCTGGTATATGGTAGATGTCTTGGAAGGGTTAATTTATCTTTGAATTCTCTATTGAAAAATATAAATAGATAGCTTTTTTTTCTCAGCTATTAATTTCTCATCTCCACATTATTATATCAATTCCACAGCACTTAGTAACCTTTCTGGCATTCTAGAAGTACCCAACTTCATGATGAATAAACTGAATTTATATTAATGTAATCTGTTTCTACTATTGCTATTTACTCTGGGTTTACCTGAAAGTATCACAAGCATATGGGCTAGCTAGTCTCCATATTGCTAACCTGCCTGGCATTTCACCAGAGGAGCTATGAATTTGTATAAAAATATAACCCTTCCTACGCATTTATGTTTAAAATCCAAAGTCTCTTAGGAATGGTAACTGTCTGACTATTTTGTGTTCCTAGTATTTTACTGCAAATTAATTCACAAATGCTTTTCTCTAAAATGGGCATTGCTTTTAACTGCGGAAGGTCTCTGGGTGCTCGCAAAGGTTAAGGCAAATGGAACGGTTTTAGAAATTGAGAGAAATGAGACTCTTGGAGCCAATGGCCAAGCACAACAACGGATGTTTAACAAATACTATCTTATTTAATTCTTAAAACAATTTCATGAGAAAAGTATGACTATTCACATTTTATGGAATAGTGGGTTTATAGGAAACTGAATTTATAGGAAACTCAGTGTATGGAGAGGGTAAGTGACTTGTTCAAGCTGACAAAGAGAAAGTGGTGACCTGGGATTCACCCCCAGCCTTATCTGCACTCAAAGTTCAGACTCCTCTGTCCCACTAGGACGCTCCTAGGAGGGCAACAAAAGAGACATACAAGGTGCTGAGAGCCACTGTCCTCCCTCCCCCAGCAGTTCTGCCTAGTGCTGGTCTTTTGGCATTTTTAAAGAATAGTCACCCAAAACATAGCACCTATTAGACTACGAGTTTAAGGACAGAGACTAGGCCTTACTCATCTTTGAAGACTTAATATCTAATACTACTATGTGTAGAATGGGGTGGTGCCCCGACTTTTTTCTACTAAAACAAATTTCTTTTTAATCTCAGATCCTTTCACTTTGGTTGCCAAACACTAAATAACTCTGGTATTTGCAAGGCCTGCCTCCCTTTCTTCTACCGATTGTTTCTTCTCTTTTGCTTTCCAACTGGGTTAGCTGAGATAAAAGTAGTAAGATACTTGGATTGTGAGGCACTAAACTAAGTAAAACCGAAGGATCACAGCAGAAACACAGCATGGAGGTTTTAAGTACAGGTTCAGCATCGTGTCTGAGACTAGCGAGGCATGAGCTGCTGACCTCTTTAGAGGGCATTTCTGTCCATCTCTAAAACCCATGGCCCTAAGACTATGCTTCTGTCTTCTGGTGAAAGCTCTCAGAATGCTGTGAGATGTGTATATAGCAAACTGGAACATCTAAGATAATCAGGAAAAGGCAGTCCTCAACACAGTGGGGTCAGAAGTCAGAGGTGGCGGGGGATGGGCAGTCGGAGATGAGCTGTCCCCCAGCACCCGCGTTAAACAGGAGCAGAGACCTCCCTCTCACACCCAGGCTTCTGGCTATCCTTTCATAAAAAAATGATCCTATCCCAAAGTATGTATTCAAAACAGACTTTGCCAGTTGGGTAGATAAGGGCATAAAGCTTTTCTTGCTTGTATGTTGGTAAGTTTGCTCCAGTGACTATTCTAAGTCCCTTCTTTGCTGCTGCTGCAGGCTTGCTAATATTCTCAATCTTCATGGATACAATCTCCGCACCTGCTGGTCTAAGGCCACAATCTGTCAGTCTCTCTTACTGAGTATCCCTTATTTAAAATGGTCCCTTTATTTTTATGACTAGAGGTTTTAAATTTTGATTTTCAATAGTAACTTGACAGGACTAAAAAAGTTGGACATCAAATTTAACTGATACATCCTTCTTCTTCTACTTCTCAACAGAAAATTTCAAATTCAAGGTAATAAAGCACAAGTTACACCTGTAAGTAATCCAAAAGAAAGTAGATATGAGTCTCAAAATTTTTTACCCAATAGCTCACTATTATATATACTGAGACACAAAAAAAGTGGCTTTGAGGCAGTTTCCTAGACAAGTTGACTCATGTACATATTAAGGTTCTCAAGGTCAGATCAATGCTCTAAAGTGGTATATGTCTGTATATACAGACACACACATACAAATATATGTATAATATATAGAGAGACATATACATACCTAATTCTGAGGATATATTCTAAAATACTTGAGAATTTATTTCCTTTAAAAAATTCTATTCATAATTTTAACGTGTGCTTTACATATAACTATGGTGAGAGCCTTCCAAAGAACATTTCTTGCTTCATCTTTGTATTCTCTGAACATAGTAAATACTTAATAATAAATGTTTATTGAATAAGACCTTGCATAAGATATGATAAACAACCTAATATAAAGAATGTACCTAAAAAGTGTAACTGGAAGCAAACTGCAGAGAACAATCACTGGCATGCTTTTTAAATTTACAAAGTAAATTAAAAAGTAGTAAGTATTACTAGGATCAACTTCAAAGACGCTCTGAGACTTGGTTTCTAAATTTTGTTGCAGATCATAATGATTCAGCAATTTTGTGTACTTGAAAAATTATAGCATGAAAATTTTTTAAAAAGGGAAACCCCTAAAAGAAATTTAAACTATCTGAGAGAGAAGCTGTTTACAGAGTTTTGTTTTAAAATATGAAATAAATGTCATTTCTGTTGCCACTTATAAAACTTTTTGTAGAAGTATAGGACCTGGGCAACTGGTATCAAGTAACTATATTTTCAGAATAACATATATAATTTAAAATTTACCCACAAAAACTAGAGTCACAGTTAAGAACTTTGTAATATAATTTACCTCGCCGGAACTGGTAGTTTGGGACAAAGAACAGAAGATTTTGAAGATGTTGTATATTCAGAAGGCTTTAGGTTATAGCTACATAGAGCTGAACCTGTTAAAAGAAAAGTCATATGTTAGTTAGCAGAACAGAGTCTAAATAAATTTTTATCGCTTTACTTTAATTTTATATTACTCAACATAAATAACTTTCAAACATTATAGAATTCAAAAGAATCTGATTTGATCTATATCACCAGTTCTTAATCATTTAAAGACAATTCTCCTCTGAAATTACCAAAAACGTAATTCGTGTACAATTTTTAATTAATAATATTAAAGGTAATAAAAATGAGAGCTAGAACTACCTTCACCGAGTGTCTGCCACATGTCAGCTTCTATACAAGATGACACACATATATAAAATCATTTACCGTAACTATAAGGCCGGTATTATTAAGCTTACTTTAGAGAGGAAGAAATACAGGCTAAGAGATAATAAAGTAAATAACTTGTCCAAGAACACATAGCTAGTAAGTCATGGAGCTGGGACTAAATACCACATCTCTTTGACTACGAAGCCTGTGTCCAACTATATATTCTTTTTCTTTCTATTACTAAATATTTAAAATTACTGTATAGAGCGTATATGCATTCAGATAATACATTATTTTCTTCTTATTTAAGAAGCAGGAACCACTGCTAGCTAAATAAACTGAACAAATTGATAAGTTGATAAAAGTGATTCCTAGTGTTCAGAGTTTAAAATAGTTTAAATTCAACCTTAGTTCCACAAAGAACTAATTTTCTAACTATATGGCTGACATACATATAAATAATACAGAAAATTAAGATGAATACAGTCCACTAGATCTAATGTAAGTCTTATTTTACTGATTAGCTGATTTTGGAACATAGCTAATAGAATACTGGAAGATTCTTTGTACAACAGGTATTCAGTAGACCAAGGCTTCAGTTCTAATTTTCTGACGATTCACTGCGTTCTATCACATAAACTGCTTATATCTGATTAAAGTGTATACTAGATCACAGATTTGGTTAAATACTTTGTATTAACCAAACAATAGCTTGACATTTGTATTACAGTGATAGTATCACTACAGTGATAGTATCACAGGACTGTATCACTAGGGAAAAAGCATAAGATACAATGTAAAGCAAAAATGTCAGACTTCAACACAGAATTAATTATGGAAAAAACATTTGAGCATATGACAAGGAACTGGAAGGGAATATAAAAAGGAAACAGAGCTTGATTTGGGGGGGGACAAAAAACTGGGAATGAATTTAATCTCATTTATATCTTGTTTTATCAACCAAAAATTTTAGGAAGCTACAAACTACCACTTAATTTAGCAAGGCTGCCCCAAATAACCTGCTAAGTATTTAAATATGCAGGCCGTAAAAGTATACTTACAAAAATACATGTAACATATATTTTATATAAAGATAGTCCAAGTAATTTGACAAGGCAAAATATTTTGAAAGAGATTCTTAAAAGTTACATGGCATTGTTTCTTAAGCTCATTCAGCTTAAGAATGAGTTGATAAGAGATTGAGTTTTAAAACTTGTTTTTGACTATTCTTTTCTTTCTTTCTTTTTTGGTGGAGACAATTTTCACTATGTTGCTCAGACTGGTCTCAAACCCCTGGCCTCAAGTGATCCTCCTGCCTTGGCCTCCCAAAGTGCCTCCCATATGCACAGGCCACCACATCTGGCCTTTTCCCATTTTAACGACAATTCTTTTTAAGAGTTAAGCATGAATATTAAATATTTAACTATTCTAAAAGTATTATCTTTCATGTTTGAGGATAATGCCACTCGATTCCATTTATAACAATTTGGGGAAAAACAGGACAGCAATAGCTGGCACACATTTTAGATTAATCTTGACAGCTGAGAGTCCTAGTATAGCATTGCTTACGAAAAAATAGCAACTGTGCCAATAACTGCAGAGCACCCAATGTAATCACCAACTTCCTGATCTGAATTGTGAACTTATTTCTTTCAGAATCCAAGATAGAATTGACTTGCACAATAGAAAAGGCCCTAACTAAAGCACTTTGTGTCAACAATGCCAAACACACTGCTTCATCTGAATTCAGGGAACATAATCCCCATCCCCACCCTTTCTTCATTTAAAAAAGGAGGTCAGCAGGTGCAACAGAGTTCAATTTTATAAATACTTTCCCAGGATAATACTCAATGAAAGGATAATAGCCTTATCTCTGATGGTATTCTGGGACACAGGCCAGTACTAAATAGATCCTGTACTAAATAGATTAAAGGAAAAAGATCTTTACAATGTGTTAGTAGTAACAATCGTAAGGAACCTTATACTGCTTCCTGCTCTAAGGTTGATGAACAGAGGGAGCCTCAAAGAACATTAAAACAATGCAATAATGGCAAACATTTTATAGTTTTTCTTTTCATGTTTATTAGCTAATGCATTTTCAGGGCACAATTTAAAGGCAGTGTTGGTTTTATTTTTTTAAGGCGAAAAGTATAAACAATTCTTAGCACAAGAGGTTTGGACATAAACAATAAGACAAAGTTTTCATTCTAATGTAAATGCAGGTAAAAATTATACATGAGTAATGAAAAGAAAACTAAAAACAAAAGCTTATCTAACGCACACCAGATGCAATCCATGCAACTCAGCCAATGTTATTCAAAGGCTATCAAAATGAGTGATCTTACGAACCTAACCCGGGTATACAAACATTTATCATGGTAAACAGTTGCTATGACCCCCAGAATATTTAACCACTACAATTTTTCAAATGCCTTATAATATTCAATTATTTATTCTTTAGCTCAGGATAAGTTATATCAACTCCCCTAAGCAGTATGCTTCCATCACCACTTTCAGAGGAAAAAAATAAGAACCACTTCGAAGGCCTTATAATCAATCCTGGAATATGTAGAAACAGGGTTCTTTACTCCTAAGCCACGATGTTTCCTTTGTGTCATTCCTAATAATCATAATGGAAGAAGCTCATTGTTCAATAAGCTCCTGGTCGAAAAACGTATGTTCTACATATCCCTCAAAAACAGTATTTTGGGGGAAAAATTACTCCCATCACACACTTCCCTTCTATGCATTTTCTGGTTACACCATTTTTCATGGTTAATTGATATGAACCATGAAATGTATGAAATCATCCATGAAATATATGAGTCAACCAACCTTTATCTTTTTTATCTACCATCTCCCCAGACCATTTAAGATACCAACAATCAGACCTTCCTGTGTCATCTCAGACCTTCACGACGGCCTCCTGGGTCTGTTGGAATACTCTCTTAAAGGGTTTATCACTCCATATCCCACATACCCGTCAGAGTGGTCTTTGTAAAATGCACACGAATCACATTATACCCTTATCCTTGGGATAAAGTCCAAACCCCTTGTATTCAAGGCCCTCCTAAAGCAAGACTCTCCCTAAAATTCCAAGTTTATCTATCTCAACATAACAGACTACAGTAGAACCTCTTTAAGTTGACCAACCAAAGAACTGTAACAAACTGGTCAACATATGGAGGTGGTCAACATAAGGAACTAGACCTACCGTAGCGATACATGTGGTGCATGTCCAGTCTATGAAAATGAGGTCAACATAAAGAGATGGCTAATGCAGGGAAGCATTCAACTACGGAGGTTCTACTGTATTTCCGATCAATTCATATTGTTGGCTTTTCACATGCTGTTCCCTCTCCTTGTACTGCCCCTTCCTCACTAGCATCTGAGTGTCCAAGTCTGAGCAAAATTTCTGCAAACTACTCAAAGTTCATGTTCTCTATCAAGTCTTCCCTCACCCATCCGACAAGACTATTTATTACTTGGCTCATTATTAAACATAGCATATTGTTTTACAATATTTTTGGTTATAGATGGTCTCTATTGTTAGAATGTGAGCTCTTTGAAAAGTAGGACCGTCTGCCTTCAAACTATCTGGAGCCTCTATCTACTGATAAATACATGGCATCCGAAAACCTTCTGATTATAAAACAAACATCCTGAGTGGGAAAAAAATGAAGAAAATGTTTCTAATATCTTATATTTTGGTGTTACAATGTTTGTATGCTTTTTGGTGTTCACTACAAAGTATGTCATCTAAATAGGATTTCTCAACCTTTGATTTTGACATTTCGTGTTGAATGATTCGTGGTTGCAGGGGGCTGTCCGATGCCTGGCAGGGTGTTTACCAACGTCCCGTCCTCTACCCACTGGATTCTAGAAGCCTCCTCAATACCCTCACCCAGTGGGACAACGAAAAAATCTCCAGACCTTGCCAAATGGCCTCATGAAGAAAAAGCACACTTAGCTGTGAACCAATGGTTTAAAACACTTTATTATTTAAAATATAGAGAACAGCATTTCCAACTTGGGCTTGACAGAAGGGGTCCCACAAAGAAGGGTGGCGAGAAGAAGGGCTGTTCTTCCATCAATGAGGCAGTGACTGGGAATCAACATCCACAAGCATGCCCACAGAATGGGCTTCAAGAGGCGTGCCGCCCAGCTACCCAAAGAGATCTAGAAATCTGACATGAAAGAGATGGGGACTCCAGATGTGTGCACTGACACCAGGCTCAGCAAAGCTGGGCCAAAGGCATAAGGAATGTCCCATACGGTATCCATGTGCAGTTGTCCAGAAACCATAATGAAGATGAAAATTCACCAAACAAGCTCTGCTTTGGTTACCTGTGTACCTGTTACCACTTTCAAAAGTCTACAGACAGTCAGCGTGGATGAGAGTCACTGGTGATTGTGAGACACATGAAATAATGTAGAAAACCACCATCAAAAAAATATAGATACAAAACAAAGAGTTGGTATGTTTGGGGCTAGCTTTTCTTGCTTTAAATTTTGTTGAATTTAGGATCATAGTAAGAATTGTATGATATATTCAAATTAAGGGGGGAAAGGGAACTTAAAACATTCTTTAAAAATTTGTAGTTAATAGATAAGAAAATCTCTCAAAGCAGAGCAGTTTTCCTTAGAAAAGACAAATTTCACTGTCTTGTGAAGTCCAATGAATTTAGCCTCTTTTTATCTAATTAGGAAACCACTTTCCATGCTAGGAGACTGGAAG